AAAGCAACAGATTTAAACTACTTGATAAACTACTCCTTTTACTTCAGTCAGAAGTCTAGTTATCTGGTCATTTATATGGGATTGTCCATTGTTTCCTGATAGCCCAACTCTTTTACTTGATTTCTAGCTTTCTGTCTCAACACTGTATTCAGAGGCTACCTGAGACATTGACTGGGGCGTGCCCCTCATTCACTTAAACTCATCCAAAGCTTCTCAGTGGAGCACTGTTCTTTACTTCTAATTCTCATTTGTGTTTTTGCCATTATTTTTTGCCACTTTTAGGCCAAACACAATTGTATCAAATTTTAATAATAATCATAAGAGCTGCATATTTTATTGGCTTTTTCCCTAGTTTCAGAAAGACTAATCTGAAGTGATTAAAAATGGGTCAAAGCAAAATCCTAGGTTTCTACCAATTTATTTTGGGAATTTAAGAAATATTTAATTTTTTAAACTGTGCTGGGAATACCTTAATTTTTCAATATTCAAATGCAATTTTCTATCCTATATAGAGCTTTTTAAAAGTTACTCTTGTAGATTTTTGTATATTTTTTAACTAAAAATTGTACTTTTGATCATAAGTCCAGTTTAACAAACGCAGATTTATCCAACACTTCTATATTCTTTTGCTGGTCCTGAATAATAGCTGAGGTTCATCAAATGAGTAGGGGGCAAAAAAAATCTTGAAATATCTTTAAATGTATCAGGGAAAGATTTAACTGAGGCAATACCCCACAATTTAAAAACTGCTAAATGCTCCAAAACTCAAAATTATGGGCAATTAAAAACTTCATGAGTCCTTTAATGAAAGAGAAACCAGTAAACATGTTTAAGGAGTTATGTGACTAATAATTATTCACTAGGACTATTTTTTTTTTGAATTTTATTTTATTTTTTTTAATACAGCACGTTCTTGTTAGTTATCCATTTTATACATAGTAGTGTATACATGTCAATCCCAATCTCCCAATTCATCCCACCACCACCAACCCCGCCCCGCCACTTTCCCCATTTGGTGTCCATACGTTTGTTCTCTACATCTGTGTCTCCATTTCTGCCCTGAAAACCGGTTCATCTGTACCATTTTTCTAGGTTCCACATATATGCGTCAATACATGATATTCGTTTTTCTCTCTCTGACCCACCCCACCTTGCATGACAGTCTCCAGATCCACCACGTCTCTACAAATGATCCAATCTCATTCCTTTCCATGGCCGAGTAATATTCCATTGTATATGTGTGCCACATTCCTCCCATCCATTCATCTGTCGATGGGCATCTAGGTTGCCCCCGTGACCTGGCCACTGTAAACAGTGCTGCAATGAACATTGGGGCACATGAATTCACTAGGACTATTAAAGGGAATTATGACTTCAAACATAGGTTGTCAGGCAAAAATAAATCCACATTAACTGCTCTAGAGCTGTTGGCACTTGCTACATTGGCTTAAATTTTTGGTTTATCAGAAAGATAAAAAGTTACTAAAGTTAAAAATCAAGATGTCTACTCAGATTCCAGTTTATTATTTTTTAACTTGAAAATCTTAAATACTTTCTTACCATAAAAATTTTAGAAGAAAAATAATCATCAGTGTAGTATTTCTTTTATCTTCCCACTTTTTTCAGAGACCTAGATGCTTAGCAAAGCTTTAAAACATTGCAAATAACAGAAAATATAAACATGCTTTAGGAATATTTGTAGTTTTACTAAACCTGAACTAGTGTTTTAGTCTTTGGGTATTCTTTTGATTTTAGTAAGGTCAGTAGCAGCTAGTTTAGGCAAACTCAGATATCTTAGGTAAAATCTACTTTATTTCTAAGGGAAAATATGAGACAAGGTTTAGAGGGACAACATGGCTCTAATAAATTCATTATAAGCCACTACATCTAATATATTTGAACTAAGACACAGTGGCCACCCGAAATTTTGTTATTAAAATGATGGCATTAGCAGATAGCATTCAATGGTAGGCTATATGATATATCAATTTCACTTATAGAGGTCTGGTTCTTTTTAAAATCAAAGTAAATAGCGATATAATTTAAACTATTTACATTTATTGTTATATTATTATGATATTATATTTATCATATTTAAACAATTTACTATTATATTTACATCAAAAATGAGCTGTAGTGCTTCCCTGGTGGCGCAGTGGTTGAGAGTCCGCCTGCCGATGCAGGCGACACGGGTTCGTGCCCCGGTCTGGGAGGATCCCACATGCCGCAGAGCGGCTGGGCCCGTGAGCCATGGCCGCTGAGCCTGCGCGTCCGGAGCCTGTGCTCCGCAACGGGAGAGGCCACAACAGTGAAAGGCCCGCGTACCGGAAAAAAAAAAAAAAAGAGCTGTAGACTATGAAAAAAAGTAAAGTCTAAGATAGAACTTATGATAAAACACTATCAAAAGTAAAGTCTAAGGTTGACCACTCTGATAAAACATTATCAAATAATTCTAATTGCTCTGTAATATAAATATGGCATTTTCCAAGCTTTATTAGCAATATTGAGTTGTTATGTACAAAAATTGTACCTATTTTGGCAATTAATACACCATACAGCATTAACTTCAGGGTTACTTCAAGCAAAAAGAAATACTGTTCAGAACACAGCATTAGAATTTTATAAAACATTCTGGAAAAGAACTGCTGGACACACTAAGTTCTTAGGCAAATTTGAAATCATTGAGAAGTTTGGGAAGACAAATTGGAAATTAGAATCAGCCCAAACAATCAGTAATCTTTTCAAATCTAATTTTCAAAGAAAAATAGAGATATACCACTCAAAATTGCTCCTAGCATCTATTATTGTATTTTCAGTGTTTCCTGACAAAGTCCACTTCATTCTGTTATTAGGTATAAAATATGGCAGGTCTTCCCAATGTGTGCCTGCATTGTTTTCCAGGTGAACAGAACGATTCTACCAAGATTTCATTACTGTTCACAGTTGGTGCTTTGTAATTCTATGTAATTTTAATTAAAGAAGAATTCTGAAACAGCCTCCCTCTGTGCTACCTCCAAGCATACAATTAGAAGAGCACAGAGTCTGCTGTGAACAGTCAGTTAATGGCTTCAGTTTAATAATTTATTATTGCTTTTTCAGTGCCAGACATACTAGAAAAACACGCTAAAACTGTGTGCAGCGAACAGGCGTTTAAGGAGGAGAGTTTGACAATTTCAGAAGAATTGTTTTCTCTCTGTAAGCCTAACATCTCCACAAGCCCCCAGATCTTACAAATGAGTGAATATCATTTTCCCTCCCAACGATTTAAGGAGAAAATAAATTTAGGTTTTTTTTCACTAAATGTAGCTGAGTCTGGTGAATGTCAAAGTATCCTCATCTCACCAGTTAAAAAATTAGACACTCTTCTCAGGTACACCCTCACAGGGAGAGGGGGAGATTTTGATAAATTTATACACTGATATTAAATACTAAGTCAAACATAAAGTAGTCTTTTTTTTTAAAGTCCTAAATTCTGCAATTAGCTATTTCCCCAACTTGAAAATCTGGACAAACAAGTTGAGCTACAATTCCTGATCTTAAAATGATTTTCATTGAAGGAAATCACTTTATTATTATAGTAGAAAAATTGAAGCATTTATACTAGTCATCTTTTTTACAAGAAATGTAAAGCAGCCTCTAAATTATCACCAGTTTTTTCAATGAGTTTATATCATGTTAGTCCATTCTGAAAGTTGAAACCTCAGTTGTTATGATGTAGGAGATTTGTCTGATAAAAAAAGTCAAAAGCAAAGGAACAAAGCCATACTTTTAAATGACACTTTTAATATTGTCATAAAAGAAAGATAATACACGATGTAATTTTGTTTCAATTGTGGGCAGAAGAGATCATCGACCATTATCTAATGGTAATGTTTTAGGTATGTTTATATTCATAATCATATAGATACATGTACACATATAATACTTCAATCTACATAATAGTTAAAACCATGTTCACCAATATACTGTTTAGCATTTTTATCTCTAGAAATTAGTATCTTTTAATACCAATTATAATTATCCTATGTTTCCCTTATGTATTATTTCTAGACCCTTGTTGAAACTGCATAATCAGGGTAAAGTATCTTAGAAAAGCACATACATTTGATTAAAATTTAGAGCTGTAGAAATCACTTTAACATCACCCTAAACTTTAGCATTTTGCACTTGGATTTAGCTGTATTCTGTCTCAAATCTGTATGACAAAATCTTAGAGCCAAAGTGGGGCTAAGAAGAGTAGAATATTTACAAAAAGAGGGTAAAAAATAAGTTAATCTGTTTTCTTCTTCCAAAGGGTAAGGGTAATTGGAGTGAGCAGAAGACCTGGACTGAACTGAAAAATATCATTTAAATGAAAGTCCCCTAAATGCAACAAAGACAGAAATATAGATGTTTGGACTCTATTGCCTAAACATTCATCTGACAGTACTTGAATAGTTAAATGAAACTTCTTGCAACTTCTATAGCACAGTGTTGTAATTATGTTCTCAAATTGGAGCATAAGTTATTCCATGTAATTATGATGCATTCAGTACATATCTTTACAGTAATTAAGAAATGGAAAAACAGTGTTTTATTCATAGTAGCAGTGATACCATTGTACTTAGTTTATGGTTCATAAATTCCATATGAAGTTTATAACATTTGTAAAACGAAGTTTTAAGAATCATTATCATTCTATTATTTCTTTTGATTCTACTGTCACATCAGGAATCAATAAAAAAAAAAAGCACTGAAATTCACACCTACTTCCAATTTGTCCAAGTTTTGTAATTCAGTTTATGATATTTAACAAAATTTTAGGTAGAAAACAATGGATATCTATTGTTCTTTTCTGCAATAGATCTTAACATAAGTTGCTTAAGAAACACTTTAACAAAGACAGTAATTTAAGGAACTATGTTAAAATCATTCCCTCTTGTCCCTAAAATGGAAAATGTATTCTCTGCTTCATTATGCGTGTTGAGGATAAGAACAATTGCCAACCATTTGTTTTTCAGATATTCGGGACAGTGGGGGTCCCAAACCAGTGATGGTGTATATCCATGGTGGCTCATATATGGAAGGGACTGGAAATTTATATGATGGGAGTGTCTTGGCAAGTTATGGCAATGTGATCGTCATCACAGTCAACTATCGACTTGGGGTACTCGGTAAGAAATTTCTTTTTTCCCCCCTATTAATCCATGAAATATGTGATAGTTTTGTTTTGAATTGTTTTGTTTTGCTTTGCTTTGTTTCACTCATTGTTCTATGCTTGCTGATTCTGAAGCAAAATTTTTGATATTTTCAGTAAATTCTATAAATATTCATAAATTACTTGACAAAAGACAGCTAGGGTTGGTTTTAATATTTAATATAAAAGGTAATGAAATTATTCACATTGTTATGGAGTGCTCTTCTTAGCTTGGCTTTATAGAAATGTGAAAGGCAGCAATGGCAGGGCCTTTCTTAAGAAGAATTAGTCCCTGGGCAGATTTTTCTCTCTTCTACTTTTCTTTTTTACAGTGCTATAAAATTGCCTGAGGTTTGCCATGAATGTAGAAATAAGTTTTTATTCTCTTCAAGAATATGTGTATGGACTAGCTTTGGGAAATGATTGCCATTTCTGTGTAGGTTTGTTTGTTTCTTAAATTTATCAAATATAATTAGAAATATTTTGTTTAAATGTATTTTGATTGAATTATTTGATTTGCAAAACATGCATTGATTTCATAAAGTGTCAAAGAGTTCAACTCAATAATGTATATACATGTAAAACAAAATCAAACTAGTTATCTTTCGTTTTGAAGAAAAGTATAGAACAATATTATTTAAAATAAATTTTTAAGTACTCTGAAATAGGCATAAACTTGCTATTCTACTTGTATAAATTTATTTTTTATAGTATTGTCACAATTTGGTGAGTAAAATAACTGTATCATTTAATAAGACACCTTTATCTGTGGTATTAGTTAAAGGTATTTGCTAAGAGTACAATTCATTACAAAAGTTTTTTTTTTTTTAATCTTAATTGATCAAAGTCTTTTCCCTTCTTATGCACTTAAAAGTTATCATTTGTGTTATTTGGGCACAAAAAGATACCTCACTCATTCTTTACTCTGAAATATTTTGAAAAAATTATTTGAATTATATTCTCCTTTATAATAATTGTTAATATAATTTATTTTAGCCATTGAGAATCAGTTTATTTTTCTCTTCAGTGTTAGTTATTATTATTCTAATCCCTTCTATGTAATCATAATCTGTGTTTATGCCAATCTCAAAATATAAAAAGGAATGATTTTTGTCAATCACGTTTGTGTGTCTTGGGGAAGGAGATATGTTAGCAAAGCAAAGTGAGAGCTTGATCTTTTTCTAGTTTTCTATTTTGAATTTGGAGTATGGTGGACGATATAATAGATACACTCTGTCAGTGTAGATATAAAGTATTTCTGTACCATTGTTCAAGTACACATTAGTTTCCCCATCATGTCTAATCATGCATTGCTTCAGTTATTCTTATAATTTCGCTGCATAGGGATGAATGACTTCCCACCAATGAAAACTCTCTATATTAGAATATATATAAAGAGATGTTAATAATAATCTTCTTAAATTAATCTTAAATATTATAGTGTTGTCATCTGTTTCTTAGGCAAGATTTGAATGTGAGGATCTGCACTATCTTTAATGCATTTAACTTTAATCATGGCATTGTTTATAGCTTAGTTGTTTTTAGCGATTATTATTCTCATATTTTTGTGAATTTCTTAAATTGAAAATCCTGATGCAGTGACTAGTTTTCCAATTGAAAATTTCAAATTAGATGCCAAATTGTGGTAACAGTATTTTTAAGGACTTGAACATCCACAAAGTCATATACACTGATTTTATTTTTAAAAAGTCTTTTGGCCACCCCTTACGTTGCCTCACTCTGTTACTGGTTGTACTCACATACAGTAAGGTCCCATAAAATAAACTGTGTTATGTTGGTATAAGCTTTGCCCATTTTAAAAAATGTGTTCAGAACTGATGAGGACCTGACTTTGATCCAATTTGAATCCTATATTCATGTTCATATGCTATCTTTAAATTCCATACTCTGAATAATTGGATTTCAGGACAAAAGATTAACCAGTTAAAAAATGAAGAACTTTGTCTGTATAATGGCAGGCAGTGTTGGTGTTGATGATGGATGATTTTTCCAATGGTAAATATTTGTTCTGGCTCTACTGCAGTTTAGGATTTAACCTTTAGTTGGCTCCTTTGTTCCTCTTAAAGACGTTGTAAACTAATAATCACTACTAAGAATCAGCTGTCCTTTATAGACCTCCTCTCAATATGATAAAGTACAAAACTTTGTTAGTGAAACATTCTTAGGTGAGTTTTGGGACATTAGTTCTAGAACATATGTGTTCTGGTCACTTCTAGAATATGTGTTGGGCCTTGTGAAAATGTATTTAAATGAATTAATTCATGAAGAATAAGTTATCATAACATTTGTTTCAGCACACTTTGCCTGTGTGGTGTACCACAACCAGCTCAACAGCTGATCTGCCAGGAGAACTGCAACAATAAAGACTGTAGGGTTTTAGTTGTTGTTGTTAATACTTTGTCTAACAGTAACAAGGTAAGCCAAGGTTTCTTGGGTGTAGGATCCAAAAGTATTGCTGTTTAGTTGGCACTTGGAAGAGTTTTGGACATTAAGTAGAAAATAAGGTTTGATCCCATGTCAGAGGAAATCCTGAGCTGTGTTTTAATTTGGATGTTTTGGTGTTAAGGAAATGAATTTTGGGGTCCAATGTACAAATTGGCTAATTAAGAGACTTACTGTCAGCTGATTGCCAGGAAATATCAGGATGTCTGAAACAGATAATATAATTCATTTTGAATTGAATTTGCCATCCCAGAGGAAAAATATATTACAAGTTTATTTGTTTTAGCAGTAACTAAAAAGGTGATAATGTTTCAGTAAAAAATTTCATACAGCTATCTAGCAGCCAAATTTCCAGTTTAAAGTATTTAATGTTAAAAACATATTTTGTTCATTACAAAGAAGAATTAGCATAGAAGAAAAAAATACCTCCTATGATAGCATTGTTTTGAAGAAGCTATCAACAGGTTGGAGTTAGTTTCTCAACCAAGACCCTTTTGTGGTTTCCTTTGAAGTGGTAACACAGACTATCAATATCATTGCATTGAAAATGCTACTGGTGGTAAGAAAAACTGCAATAAGTTTGGAAAAAAAAAGCCTAGGGGGTAGTGGATTCTGCCTGCTAACCTCTCTTCCCCAGTTTCATCTTAGAGTTCTCCATAATCTTATCTCATTCAGTCTCACACTTCTTTTAGTAAACAGTTAGACTTTCTTTCACTTTTGGTTATATACATTCTTTGTCCTCAGCCAGTTTTAACTCTTTGTCCTTGGTTATCTAATACATGTTATATAAATGTCCTTTAAAATGTATTTAAAATAATTATTGAGTTATTTTTTAATATTCTGGTTTATAGTTAAAATAAAAATAAAAATTATCGTGTTGGAAACAGTGAGAAATGCTTTGATTAGGTGGTCTTAAGAGAGGAAAATAGTATTAAATATTTTTACTGTAAATAGGGTAAACATATGTACTTATGGACAAGCATTGAAAGAGAATATGAAATAAATTCTTCACTATTAAGATGAGGTATTATACAGTAAACGTATTTGAAAATAGAAACTATCTACATATATTTTCAAATATTAAAAATGAAAAAATACATTAACTAATTTAGTGTTAAAAATGTGTTTCAGCCCCCTCTCTAAATTTAGAATAAAATTATGTTATTTATTAGAGAAAAATTTTTAAAAATTATCTTTGTGGAGATCTAACATAGGCAAACATAAGATTTTTATCTGATGGAAATTTAACAAGATACTTTTATTTTGCTATGGATATTTTAGCGACAATTATGCATTCATAATTCAAGCACATGTGATTTATATTAGAAAAAAATTCTCAAAGATTTCAGAACTACTGATATCTCTGGATATTTGGCAAATTTTTAGTAAAGGGTCTAATTAAATATTTTACTTAGTAATCTTATGTCTCTACTACCCATCTATGGAAAAAATAATAGAATGCTAGTTTATTTACTGGTTACATTTGAAGAATTACATTTAGCTAACTTCATAATGCCATGTGAGGCTAAACCACTTAAAACAAGCTTTCATTAACGTTACTGTGTATCAATTTTAATGAACAACTAATTTTATATTTATTCTATTAGAAATGGTTGTGAGACCTGTTAATTCTTATAAACTATAATGTCTATGCAATAATAATGCTTCAAGTATTATCAGACAAATGACAGAAATAAATATAACTTTGGTGTGGTCAGTCATCAAATATATAACACTTGTTTGCAGAACTGTACATCTTCTATGCAGGATAAAAAGTAAGAAAAATACAGTCCTTATCTTTACAGAGTTTTCAATCTAATTGAGGGGGAAAACAAGCAGTCAATAGAGAATAATAATTGATTTTGTACTTCATAATAATATATATTTATTAATTGATTTGTATGTACATGGTCACTTGATATATAAAAAAAATCAGAACAATGAAGAAAGAAAGGAAGCATAGAATATCAGATGGGTCAATATGAATGCAGTGATCAAAATTCTTATTTGAATCTGAGCAGTCTAGCAGAAAGGAGATTTGGTAAACTCTAGGTAGTTATGATTTAAAAAGAAAAGCATATTCATTTCTCAAGTGGCACAGTGTTTTGTCATTATTTTTCTTTTTTTTGCATTGTTTTTATTTGTTTGGCTCTAAATCCTAAAGCAAAGAAACAATGCTAAATGTGACCTTATATTTGAGAGTAATATATAATCAATTATTAAATTTTATAAGATGATAATAATCCACTATCATCCAAATGTGTTCTTAGGAGGTGGGAGACGGAATCAGTCTGTACTTGAAGAGTCAAAAATGTCTTCATGAACTTGGTAGTATTTGAGCAAAACCATGAAGGATGGACTGTCTCTGGGATTAACTAAAGAGGGGAGAGAAGGAAATCCTTTTTTATTTTTATTTATTCATACTCTTTCTACTTCAAAAAATTGGATGTAATTTGTGGCAAAGACACACATATAAATAGGTCGCTAAAATCATATTGAATATGAATACCCATA